TTCCTTTATTTACTTTGCAAATAACAGGCCATTTTCACGGCTTAACATCAAAACGGAATGCCAGCGACAGTTGACACAGGCGTCTCGCCGTTATCTAGCTAGCCCATTTAAATTTTATTGCGTTCCAGGCTCTGTAATCACCAGCCAGCAGTCTAAGAAGTGGTCCACACAGGGGTGTAACCTCATTAAACTTAGGGTACACAGTGGCTACACGTTTTTTGGATTTAAAATTATCCCCTACGCTTTAGTATTTTGTCAAGTTAATGTTTATTCTGTTATGCCTTAATTCAGATCGCTTTTACCTATATTAACAGTTTTGATATATTATTTAGTTATGACGCTCGACCTCTACACTACAATGATACAGAGATCCAGAGAGTTTATACCCTCGTGTAAAAATGTTACCTACATATTGATTGCTGTACGGATGATGGGACATCAAACAAAAACTGTGGCACCTTGTACAGTCGCAATAGTTTCGATTTTGCGTTAAAATGTTTCATAAGTGATGGCCATTGTAGATACTCTATTGTCGCAATAAATAATCCAATTTGATTAATGGGGTAGAACTGCTGTAAGTCTCTCATGTAGCCCCCGCCTTAGAACCGAAGTGACGGTGCAGCCCAAGTTTTCCAATTACAATGTTTTCGCAGCGGCCCGTACCTGCGAACTATTCCGAATTGTTTTGTTGACTTTAGAGTATCGGGTACGGTCAACACAAATTTCGCGGGCGATAAAATTAATATCGTTTTATTAAGCGGGAATGCTAATTGTTATCGAACTCCCAGGAAAGTTTTAAGCACGGACTCGTAGTAAGTAAATATAGTTCGTTCGTTTCAGCCGAATGACGTCCACAGCTGCACAAAGGCCTCCCCCAAGGATTTCCACAAAGACCAGTCCTGCGCCGCCCGCATCCAGGCACCTCCCGCGACCTTCAACAGATCGTCGGTCCACCTAGTGGGAGGCCCGCCAATACTACGTCTTCCGGTTCGTGGTCGCCACTCGAGAACTTTTCTGCCCCAGGGGCCATCAGCTCTGCGAGATAGGTGCCCCGCCCACTGCCACTTGATTTTAGCGATTCGGCGGGCTATGTCAGTCACTTTAGTTCTCTTGCGGTAAGTAAATATAGAGCAATACAAAAAAAGCTCCTATCTCAAATTTTATTATAACTATGGACTAAAACAACTTTTCGCGTCACACCCTTTTTGTTTCCCTTATCCTGTTACTAAAATATCTACATTTACGATGTCCTAAGCCCATAAAATCCCTTGAAAATGGAGGAGCAGTGTGATTTGCACGCTGTGGGACCCCGCGGGGCACTAGCCACCTTTACTACCATCTAGACATTAATGTAGGACGAAACAAAGGAACTTCGTTAAGTATTGTTTATGATCAAGCGGAGATTGCACTGGGACAGCAAGAAAATGTAGAATAAAGGGGTTCGTAAACAAGAAATAAAATTTTTGGCCTTGATCCAACCGTGCTAGATGGGTATAAATTGGTTGCGGACGATGCGAGCTCACTGAATTTTAGTTGGAAACTTCAATATAATCTATTGGCTTTATTATTTATAGCATTAAGTTGGCTGAAGAAAACTAAAGCCTGAACGAATATTGCAATGAAGATCTTAATCTTAATTACAGACTTAAATGATCATTCATTTATAGAGTGTTCATCTCTTAAAAACAACTTTCAAATCTCGATACAAACTCAATCAAATCAAATTATGTGCTGTGATTAGTCTAATTATTGAAATTGACCCCATCAAAAACTTCAATAGGTACCTACTTGATTACTAATTTGTGTTTTGAGCTTCATTCTGTATTCTGTCTATGTCTAATTCTCTATCACTTAACCATTCACAAAATTCACTGCGCTCACTTCTACGAACGCTACAAACCGAAATACAAACACTTACCGTATCCTGATCCATTTCCAACTCGGGAAACCCGCACGTACCATCGCTACCTGTTAGATTCCGAGTGAATAGGATCCGGCGTCGCTTCGGGGACCTCCCTCTGTATAAATTGCAGCGCCCGACAGCTCTGGTGCATACCGATACGTCAATCACACCGATTGAATACAAAACACCCTGAAAGGGTGCGGATATTGAGATTCTGAAGCTTGTGCAGTATTCTAAGAAAGATTTAAAAAGGAGAGGTTGTGTGACAATCGATTGAGTTTTATTATTCTTCTTATTTTGTTTATGGCCAGGTCTGGGATATTATGGCCCACAGAGCGACCTCCCAAATCATCATCATCATTATTTCAGCTACAGGACGTCCACTGCTGAACAGTGAACATAGGCCTCCCGTAATGGCTTCCACATCGCACGGTTGGTAGCGGCCTGCATCCAGCGCCTTCCTGTCATCTTATCAAGTCGTCGGTCCACCTTGTGGGTGGACGTCCCACGTTGCTTTTTCCGGTACCTCCCCAATGGATTCCGCCCAGACAATCGATTTGTCTCCTGCATTCTCTCTCTCAATGACTTTTATAACTTTATTCGCATTCAATAGGTATTTATTATGACTTATTTAATTTAATTGAGCCATGTAGAGTCGTTCTCTCACGTAAAAAGTTCCTTGCTATCATGCACGATTGAACATTTAAACGTTATTTATGTGCTACAATCTGTTAAACACATACCTAAAGTCAATTAAAGACAAAGAGAAACGAGAATTTATTCTATTTTTTGCTTGAACTTGAACGCTATTCAACATTAAAATGTATCAAAATTCTTTAACTTCGTTGCAAAGTAAACAAGTTTAAAAGTAACATAATTTGCGGACAAAAAAGGTGCTATTTATAGGCGTAATTCCAAAGAGACATCTGGATCGTCCTCTATTATATCCTCTATCTTGAATATCCTCAGAAGCCTCCCTGAATTCGACAGAGGAGCAGTAGAGAATCTCCTTAATTTTGTATGGTAAGGCGTTGTGAAAGAAGATTCAATAAGCTTTCGGCTATTTAGGGAGTTTTATTTTTATGGGATCAAAAGTGCTAACTTTTTTGTTTAGAACACAGAAAACATGAACGCGAGAGGCGGTTTGCGTGAAGTTGCGTGATGGTAACACATAACACAATAAGCTTACAGAAAAACCAAAACGCTAAAACTATTAGTCTTAATAAATACTATAGTCTTATACTTTATTAATACTAGATTCGATGTTCGATTGTGAGCTCTTGCGATGCCTCTAGCAAATATTAGTTCTCTGGTACAGTCGTCGTACATCACATTATATTTTTGTTGAACATTAGCGCCTATAACACTAATCTCTCGTTGTTTTTCTTTTTGGCTAATAAACAAAAAGATGTGAAAATTCATCCATATCTAGTAATTTGGCTTTCTCAGTATTGAAAGAAAGAAAGAAAGAAAAAACATTTATATGGCACCAAAAAATTAAACAATAAGTACAATCAACTTAAAAAGCAAAATACATTGTACCAAATTGGTCTCTACTCAGTATAAGGTCATAACGTACTGAAGGTATTCTGCAGAAACCATGAAAGAGGGGTGCGTGGCCCACAGCGAACGTTACAACTCACTACAAAATTTGACAAAATAGAAGAAAATAAGTGTGCATTAATTTGTGCTAGCTTGACATGATTACAAAACAAAAAGATACGAACAGTAATTAATTTATCCATGATTAAAATCGGTAATAACAATTTATTGAGTGTTGGCGACCCATATTTCAATTCAAATTGGTAGCGGCGACACTGTATGCACACATACTTTATAATTATGTAGGTTTATATTGAGATTACCGTCAGCGCCAGACCCTGCTCTGTGTTAATACGTATTGTATTTGATATTAATTGATCACACAGCTCTTAGTCCCGTATCCTAAATCGATCGATCGAAACTCGAACCGAACTCAAGTACAAATTATAACATACTTCTATTTTATTTTTAAGTACCTCTGTACCTATACAAGTACGTATTTACTTATCAATAGATAAATGTTCTATCTGAATTTACGAGTATATGTTTTGGACCAATTTTAAGCTCATTTCTATTTTTGAAGTACATACTTATGATCTTTCATCTTACAATATTATATTGGAATATTCCTGAAGATTTCCTTACAAAATGAAAATGATAATGTTTCTACACTTGACTCAATTTGCGAAAGTGGAGAGAAGGAGCTCACTTGGTACTGTTATTCCTTTTACACAAATGAAACTCAATATTTCTGATCTCAAATTGGCGTACCTATCTACAAAAATATTTTCCTAGTAAGTTATTCAAGAAGACTTTTCAAAGTAATTTTCCGGGTGGATGGTAACAGATGGAAGCTTATGTTCTTGCAGTGCAGTATCGAGCAGAACGTGGCTCTTATTGCGTTGATATAAGGTTGATTGTTCAACGTTGATAGGTGCTATGCGAAGGAGAAACGATAAATTAATGAGTCTTTTTAATTATTCTCCACCGCGTTTGCAATTTGGTGTAGACGTCATAAAGGTAATTAATCTCTTTGTACGTCTTATTAGATTAGCATACCTTCTAATTAGTAAGCATGCCTTATTGTGGAGGTGGAATTGCGTTGTGACCTGGCGTAGATATACTTAGGTTCTTTATGATTGTGAAATTGTAAATGACAGTGCTCAGAGAGAATCACAGCCTAGACGGAGCCGCGGACCAATTTTAGAATAACTCGCGGCTCCGTTTCATTTGGCTCCGGAAAGTACTGTCGGGTTTAAGCAACTCCGCGCAATAGGCATCTAGGCAGCCAATCCTCATGTCCTGAAGCAGTGGTAGGGTTAATAGGGACGTGTAAGTGCTTTTTAAAAGCCTACTTGCATAAATAAAAGAGCTTTATTACTTTTTAATCCGTGTATGAGAAACTCTTGGCTGCCTAGTGCGCGGGAGGCCTAAGTAAGGCTCTTTTGGCGGGGAGAGCCCCACATAGTACACTTGTTTCTTTGCAACTTCATATATTTTCCGACGGAAGTACCATCATGGATTCTCGCAACACTAATCTCTCTCCATTCCCCAGGACGCGTCCGGCAAGTACATGGCAACACAGAAGCACCTCGTGAAGGAGTGTCCAGAGATGTTGGCCATCGCCAACTGGACGGGGCAGGTGCCTCGCAGACCTGCGCTGCCGCCGGGCGCTCGCCTCTCGCAGCTGATGGCTCTAGGCTCCCGACGGGACCCTGGGCAGGTGGTCTGGATGCTGGCCAAATCTGATGCTGAGATGAAGTGAGTATTAAAATACTCTTTCGTTATGTTTTTTATTTCTTTTATGAGCGTCCCAAGGCATCCGATTCGTAAAGCCAAGTTTCTTTTTTCTTTAAAGCTGACTAAGACAAATGATGAGACCTTTTTTTCTTTATATCTTGTTTTCTTCATGAGCTAACGGCGTTTGATTCGGTTTCGTAGACTGTATAGAATCAGAAAAGAGTTTGACAGTCTTTTGCAATTTTTTTCTTTCATGATGCCTGCCCCCTTAGACAAAACGCACTTTTTGATCGAATCTCCATACAAAAAAGGGGCTTTTCGACCACTTTTCGACTGGTTTGCGATTATAATTTGCACTTGTCTAGACCCACTGATGTGTTTTATAAATCTGATTTTGGGTCGAAGAAGAATAGAGTCTGTTGAACAGGCAACATCTTTCTTTTTCTTTTTCTTCGTGAGCTGTCCAAGGCGTTTAATTTGATACGGACAATTATATTCTTTTTCTTTTCTTTAAACGTTGCCCGAAGCGTCTGTTTTGATGCATTAGGCCACTTTTGTACTGAAACAGAAAAGAGTATGTATAATCTAGTCTGTTAAATATAAATAAGCTCCATTACAAAACTGAATACTACTCGTATGCGAAAGGGATCTATAAATTATGTATATCGCTAACTAGACAGGACACAAATGGGGTAATTAAGCGAGTAGCAACGCTGGTTAGAACTAATGTAGGTATGTCGACCTACATAGAAACACCTGGGTCTAACTTTGAATGTTTTTGATACACACAGAGCATAGGTACAATGTTGTCTAGTTGTTATGTTCTAGAATTTTTGGCTTTAGATTAGGGATTTTAGCTTAGCACTAATCTAACCTTGGTACTATTACTTATCCTGTGCTAGGGCTCACAAAACCGAAAAAAATTGGTTGCACCGGGTTTCACGCTATTTTTCAAAACCGGTATTCAAACATGGCAAAACCGGTAATCGGTTCCACTTTCACCGAAAAACGGTTTTGTGACCCCTAATTTTGGCGTATCGTTAAATATAAATCAAAACAATCTCTTTCACTTTTAATTTTAGCTTTCCTGGTGTATTTTTATTCCAAGTTTACTTTTAAAGTCTCTAACTCGGAAGGGATGAACACCTCTGTTATCTCAAAGATCAATACCAAGGATTTGCATAAATCTACTTTTGTCTTGGGTTTAATGACTTTGGAAATTCGGTCCGGTTCGTTAATAACACTTTGGATGACTTGTATATTGGATGTGACGGTTCTAATAGGTGGACTTGATAGATTATATTATATGAGTGAATATTAGATTGGCTCTATCGATTGTCTTGTGTAGGCTGCTAGGTAATTAAGTTTTCTTTGGCATGAAATGCAAAAACTGACAAGAAGTTTTAAGTAGTAAAATAAAGATCTAAGGATGCCCTTAATTCAATAAATATAAACAAATCTGTGCTTGAAATACTGGAACTATTTTCCAGTGTAGTCATCTGTACTACCTACGTAGAGCTTATCTTTATACAAGCTCTGCTAATTTAGTGCTTTATATTGTTGGCAAAAATAAGATTTTTACTACAACACCACGAAAATAAGTAAACCCTATAATCACCATAGTATAAGTAAATCAAGTGGTAGAGCGAATATCAAAGTGATTCAAGATAAAAAGTTTAGAATTAAGGTTCGATCGAAATACCACACACATTCATTCTAAAGTAACTGAAAATACGTTCAACTTACAGGCTCCATAAAACGTAAACGGATGCATTCAATTCTGAACCTTACGTCAATGATGTAAACACATTTTTCTCGGTGCACGTTTAACGTAGAGCATTACACTTGAGTGGAAATAAATTACCTGTGTAAAGAGATATTTACTCTCTCCTGAACGGCTCGTTTCAACCAGGGATGTTAGGATATCCGTAACCGTAACCAAAACTTTCGGATATCCGAAATAAAAAAATATCCGAAACCGTAACCGATTCCAAAAGTTTCGGATAGTTTCGGATGTATGCAGTTTAAATTGTTTTTTGTATAGCATTATATGTAAAGACATAACAGATTGATTTACCTTTATAATGCCATCTAGTATCAATTTTTCTATTTTTATTACTTTTTATTCGATGTAAAGTGTGCGGCCATGAATGAACCGTGTTGGACAACTATTGCAAATTGTATTCTTAAGCACAGATATCCGTAACTGTAACCGAAACTTTAGGACATCCGAAAAATAAAATATCCGTAACCGTAACCGAAACCGGTATAATATTATTCCTATATCCGTAACCGTATCCATAACCGAAACTACATATCCGTAACATCCCTAGTTTAAACGTTCGAGCAGATAGGTACGTGTAAGACGTAGGCGCCATTGCTCGACGAAGAAGTAGGAATGTTGAGTAACAGATGTGCAGTGCTAGAGTGTGTCTAGCAAAGATAATAGACGTGCAATGCTAGAGTTTGACTAGACAACAATGCAAAGTAACATGCGAAGGTAGTAAGGATGTCACAACAAAAAAAGTAAATCAGAAACAATGATAAACGCATGGTTTTAGTTCCCATTTGACCTACCTACAAATATTAGCTTGAAGTTTTGGTCGTCATATTTGCCATACACCGATCGTGTAAAGTAAATTACAAAAATAATGCAATACAAAAAGTTATCAGAAAAAAAAACCACTAGCTTCATACGTTTCTGAGTTTGTTCATTAGAAAAAAATATGGCAGAAATCTTAAAGCTTTTTGATGCTGCATGCGCTGTCGTTGTTAAGCGAATGAAATCACAGGCAGCTTCTAGTTTCAGTGGCAGGAAGCAGGATGCAAGCCGCATTTCCGAGGTTAACTATCAGACATATGTACTTAGGTGGCTTTTGCGTGAAGTTTGTTTGGTTTAATAAACGGGTATTAACCCGTTAAAGCTAAATTATTAAAGCTAGGTAGCTGTTTAAATTATTAAACAGCAAAAATAATATTAAACGTAAGTTCATCTTTAGGAAACCTTCTGATGTCCTGATTATAGAAACTTATCTTTATAATAATAAATAATAAATAATTTATTCATTAAAAAATAAGAGCATTATACGAACTTATTATGCTAGAGTTTACATAATAATATAGTTCACAGTCTTTTGTAGCCTGAGCTAGGTTAAAAACCTGTGTTTCAGGCGAAAAAAGCTCACACATTAAATAGTAATTAAATATAAATTAACAATTTGCTATATTAAATACAATTTTTTAAAACACTTAGGTTAAAACTTAGATTACATAGGTACTACAAGTAGCTCCTCAGTTAAGTCATATGTCAAACATTGAAGGTACTTAAATACGGCTTTTTTACAGTTATATAAATTTAGGGCATATATGTTAAGAATCTTATTTAATTTATCGTACAGAAACGGACCGAGGAAAGTAAAAAATCTATTTGTATAAATAAATTTGGAGATGGATTGCGAAGTAAGTGCAGACTATGTCTTTCCGTCTTTTATTAGTGGTGTCAGCAACATAAAAGTGCGAGGTGTGTTGTTTAAGTAATGTGTGCATTATGTATAATTGGCGGACAGTTAACACATTGCAGGAACTATATAGTAGGTGGGTAGGGTAGAAAAAGGGAAGAGAATTCGCGACTTTCAAGATGGCTCTCTGAGCTCGTTCAAGTGGAATTAATATAGTCTTATGTGCTCCACCCCAAGAAGTGATACAGTACTGGATAATAGATTGGCAGACCGATAAATATACTTTTGTGATCAGTTTTTTGTCTGCTATTGTTCGAAGTTTTTTGAAGACATATATTAATTTGCGTACCCTTTGAACTAAATTTTCTATGTGAGGTCTGAAGGAGAGTGTCCCGTCAATTATGATCCCGAGATATTTTAGGTTGTTAGTTTCATGGATGGTGGGGCACATACATGTAGTGGTAGGCGGGGTTTGACCTTGGTGTGCATAAAGATAAGCATTCTTTGAATTCTAAATATCTAAAAATCTTTGACTTGCCTTTAATAACTTCTTATGCGCTCTTATCTTCACCTTTAATTTGGACACAATAATTGACATCAATATTTAAGTTACAATTTGATAGCAATAGATGGCTCTGTATGTACTTTAGTTCGCGGTTACATAGAGATGGTAAAAGAGTCGTCTGTAGCAACGGTTTAAAAATAATAAGATACTTTTATAAAAACGTGAGCATCCGTGCGAGAGATTGCGTGGGTAGTTTGCCAATGACATCTCCATTCCATGACAACTCCAGACAATGGCGTCTAATTGATTAATGAAAAAATTAAGCCACATCAGCATTACAATTCGCTTTTTTTAACTTTATACCAATCATAGTATGCTCCAAACGATTTTATTATACATTCGATTTACTACAAATTATTTATTATTAGCAACATAAATTAATATAAACTTGACTCCTGGATTCCGGTTTCTTCCAAAAACTCTCCTCAAATCCCGTGATCGATATTTATTTCTTAAGTACATGTACATACCTAAAGTATTGTGTATTGTGATGTTTTTTTATCGCGATATAGTAGTTTCTAGGAGACTAGCTGCATTTTCAGGCTGAATGTAGTTTTTGGGACAAAACAGCCTAACTCTGTCTCATTAACTACATTAATTAAAAAAAAAGTGCTTACACGCGAAAACATACCAAACTGATGGACAAATATAATTTCATGATATAATATTAGTTTACTAGATAATTATGATGAAATGTACTGTAATCGATCGCATTGTCTTGTGGCCTCAACATTGTTTAACTTTGCAATCAAAGTTGGGGTTATTAAATTTGATCAGCTTCTATTGCCGTGGGCCACAGCTTCAGGTTATTGCATCAGTCAACGACAACTTAACATACAATAAACAAAGTACTAACTGGTTAGCACTTAACAATTTCTTAATGTTTTGTTCTTCTTAGTTTCATATTTCTAATACTCAATAGTTTCTAATCTCAATAGATACCTAACTTACACTTAACTTTTTCCTCGTCGCTCAGTCTACATTTCATTTGCCAGTTA